ACGGATGCGGATATTTTCCATATAAACGGATACGGATGCGGACGGTAGTCAAATTTTCGGTTATCCATATAACTATTGTTGGTACATGCATGCAAGCATATATGACTATGCATGCAAACATCTATATTTTATACTTCAGGTATCATTGTTATTTAATTTGAGTTCAAAGTTTATCGATTTTGAATTAAAAAAAATCAAAAGTGGACAAATACTCAAGAACGAAAGGAGTAGCAATTAGTGAATGTAGTTTCGACACGCATCATGAGTCATCTAAAAACGGCAGCTCTACAACAATGTTATTGAACCTAGACAAGACCGAACGGTCAAACTAGTCGAACCGTGATCCGACCACGTAACCGGTCTGGTCCAACCCCCACAAACCCCCCCACAAAAACCGGGACCCGGCTTCCACGCTGATTCGACGTTCGGTTCGAGTTTAAAATCATTGCTCCCTATCTTTTAAACATAGGAGTGGAGTCCGGTGGCGTACATTCGACTCCCCTTACCCCGCAATAGACAGGAGCTTTGAGGCACTTGGGGTAATGCTTAAAGACACAAATCACACAATGCACATACCGAAAGCCTAAATGAAGGATATATCTAAAGTATAAAGGCCTAAACTCAAACAAATGAAATTTATGGGAAAATCAGGGAGTGAGAGAAAATAAGAAGAGGAAATTAAATGATAAGGTACCTCCTCCTTTATGGCGTGTTTGGCTTGAAGGGTAGTTCCAGTCAAGCACGAACCCTTGCTCCATAGCCGCGCGGAAGGAGACATTCCACTCCCATTTACCGCTCTCCATTTCCTCCGTTCTCCTCACCGCCGTCTCAATCTTTCCGGTGCAATTCCCGATCCGACTCAAACTCAGAGGATCAATCGGCCCGACGAACAAGTAGGAATCACAGCCTATCCCGTAGAAATGGGGAATTTCGTCCGGAGGAGGCCGAGCGCAGTTGGAGAAGAAGGTGATTTCCAAATCGACGCCGGAGTCGTACGAAAACGGCGCCGTTACGTTGAGATCGAGACTCTGCTGGAGCTCCCCCCATGGACTACAGTCGTCTTTTTGGAGAGGGATTAGTTGGGAATCGACGAGCGTGATGGAGCGCTCTCGATAGCTGATGCTCCTCACGAGATAATCGTGGCCGTTGATGGTGAGAAGTGGATAATCGGGATCCGCGTTTGAACAGTTGACGCCGAAATTACGGGGGCGGCAGATTGGGTCTTCTTCTTCCTCATCATCTGAGCCGCCTATCCTCCAGAAAGGATGTGAAATTGTCATGTTGTTCCTCTTGCAGCCGCCGGTTGAGGAATTGCAGAGCTGCTCCTCTGCGTCTGCGCTTAATTTGAGGGTAGGGAGGAGGAAGAAGAAGAAGGAGAAAGGAAGGAGAAATTGCAGGAAGGGGGAGACTGGAGAGGGAGAAGGCGGAGACATTTTGGCAGTTGACTGGGGAAACAGAGTTCATATATAATGAATGATTGAATGAATTTTGTTTTGGTTTGGGAGACGATAGGAGAGGAGATGTTTTCAGAACCGGACCAGTGATCGAACCGATCAAGATACTGGTTCACTGGTCGAACCAGTGGTTCAACTAGTCGAACCGGTGGTTTAAACATATTTAAAAATTATATAAATATAAATAAATAAATATATATGTGTGTGTGTATACGTATATGTATATATATTTACACACACATACAGACATACATATAGACACACACATTCTCATTTATAAATATCTAAAGAAAGTAATTTATAACATTTAAGTAATATTATATTAATGTACTTGAGTTATTTTATAAAATTAAAAAATAAAATTTACATATTAAAAAAATATAAAAGAATTTTGAATGAAGAATTGAATTGAATCTTTTTCAAATAAGTTGTTTAATATTAAAAAAACGAAATCTTTGCATGATTTGCATTTTGTAATAGTATCAATAATATCAATGATTTTGTGTTTAACTCATAGCTATATAATATTATATTTCTAAAATTGAAAATGAATTTATATACAATCTTTTTTGTAATTATGAAATATTATAAAAGATTATGTGAATTTGTAACAAAAAGCACCATTGCTTGGATGGTTAGGAGCTCAACCAAATGTCCAAGAGGTCTTGTGTTCAAACTCCCATGGAGTCATGTTTTGGAAAAAATCAGCAAAAAAAAAAAACTGGGCGGACCGGTTTGACCGGCCGGTTTTTACCGGTTCAAACTGGTTCGGGCCGGTTCGAAGCAGGTTACGGTCCAATGGGTCGGACCGGACCGGTTGGACCACCGGTTCGCCGGTTCACGGTCCGAACCGGCCGGTCCGGTCCGGTTTTTAAAACTATGCTATATACCCAGTTATTTGTACCCAGCTTTTGTACCCCACTTCGTACCCCGCGGGTTTACACTAACATTTTGTATTGGTGTAAAACTAATTTTTGTTAATACACCAACATTTTGTGACCGTGTAAATTTTTGTTAACACACCAACACTTATGTCGGTGTAAACCATCAAAATGTTTGTGTATTACTACAGTGTACAAATGGAGTATAATTTGTGGTGTAAGTGAGTGTAGCATGACCCATATATCAATCGGTCCCCCTTCCGGTCCTCACCGTCCACAAAAGCTACGTACTCATATGATTCATATCATGTTCTCTATTCTCCCGGTTCATACTCTATTAAATTATACTCCTAGAGTCCCTATTTTGATTATAAAATGAGAATTATGAAGTAAAATATTGCTCCTTATAATTTTTAAAATTATTTAATTTATAAATTAGTACATCAATAAGATATACTTCCTTCCTCCAAAAAATTATCTTTCCGTTGCGCGTTACGATATTTGATTTTCAAATCATTTTATATAAAAAATGGTGTGGAATTAAAAAAAAATAAAAATTACATATTAAAAAGGTACATCAAAAAATCTTCAAAACTAGAGGTGGTATTAGGGGTGGACACGGTACCTGTACGGTACCGTGACCGGCAACGGTACCGCCGGTACCCGCCACCGTAACGCCGGCCGGGACAGCATCAGCGGTTCCGGTGCCCAAATTTCGTTACCGGCACCGCCGGTACCGGTTTAATTTTTTTTCCTTTGCTTTCTTCCCAACGTAAACTTGCAAAAAAACACAAAAGATAGTGGGTGGGGGGGCACCTCAACGGGCAACGGCAATTTAGCCGTTTGAGGTGGGGGAGGGGGGGGGGGGGAAACTCCTATAAATTAATCCAAATTTTTTTCAAAAAATTCACACTCAAGTTCCAAACCATCTCTCATTCTCTCAATCTCTCAATCTTATCATTTCTTTTCAAATTTTATACAATTTATATATTAATATAATAATATAAATATATATTAATATATTACTTATTACTCCGTATATAATAACCTATAAGTAATACACTCATTATTCATATTATCAATTATCATATATATTTAGTTTATTAGTAATATTATATTTCGAAAGTTTCGAAATTTAATATATAATTAATTTTTTAATATATTCTTTAAATAATTTAAATATATAATTTATATTTTAAATATATTCTTTACTTTTCAAAATATTCGAAATTTTAATATATATACTACCTCCGTCTCATTATATACGTCCAATTTTGACTTTTGGAACTGTTCATCTAAGCACTTTGACTCATCAAATTCTCTCAATGTGTAAGTCTAAATATAGTCATGTGTGATCTTGTTTGATTTGTCTTAACATATAGAATATTAATATATAATTTCTATAATTTTTTATTATACAAATTACAAGATAAAATGGATTAAAGAAGTGCATTGGATGGTGTGTAAAAATGAAAGTGGACAAATACTCTGGGACGGAGGGAGTATAAAATTTCGAAAATTTATTAAATTTTTGAAATTTAATATATTATTTTTTTAAATATCCAAAAAAAATATATTAAAATGTCGAGAGAGTCCGGTAGAAGGTCCTTGGATATGGGCGCCGTGAACCGAAGTTTGAGGAAAGGCAAAGCTAAAGCCACCTCCGACGGTTCGACCTCACGCGGTTTTCGAGAAAGACACTCCGTCTCTTCCTTTCCTACTATCCCCGATCAATTCATCGGCGACGCTTTGACGGATCAAGAATTCGACCAGTACATTTCTGGTAGAGGCGACGCGAATCTTCCCACTCTTGATAGTTTATTCGAGGATATTGATGAAGCAGAACTGGACAATCTGGAAGGAGACGAGGAGCCTATACCGCACATTAACGACGTCGACGAGGAGGCAGGTGAGCCCGAGACCTCTCAAGGTCCGGGCAAAGGTAAAAAAATTAAAATCAGATTTATTTGTTTATCATTTTGAAAAAGATACAAAAGATGGCATAGTTTATGGAACTTGTAAGTATTGTGCCACCGTCATTAAAATAGGAGTTTCCGGTGGTTATGGTGGTCCGGAAAAACACCTAAAGTCGAGGCATCCCGTGGAGTACACCAAATACGCGGCGAAAAAGAAGGGACGACAAGAAGTGCAAACCCAAATTTCTCGGTTTGCTAACAGGGGTAAGGGCGGCCTTTTTGCTTATAGCGACGAGCAAAATAAGCAAAAAATGACCGAAATGATTTGTGAAAAAAATTTGCCATACATGTTTTCTGAAAAACTTGGATTTATTGATTATTGTCAACAGACATTAAACCCTCAAGCAAGAGGTTTTTCAAGAAAAACAATTAAACGAGAAATTATTCAACAGTATAAACTTGAAAAAATAAATTTGGCAAATTTTTTTCTCAATTTTAATTCTCGTGTTACTATTTGTTCTGATATTTGGAGTGAAACATATCATAATTTGTCTTATATGGGTGTTACTTGTCATTGGATAGATAGTGATTGGATTATGCATAAACGTGTTCTTGCATTTCGTGATTTCAATGATTCTCATACTGCTGAAAATATTTTTCTATTGCTTCAGAGTATTCTGCGGGAATACAACTTAGTTGATAAAGTGTTTGCATTTGGTTTTGATAATGCTACTAATAATACTGCTGCTATTCCTAGACTTAGAGAAATTTGCCCTCTACTACGACTATGGGTAGATTTCTGCATCAACGGTGTGCCTGTCATGTTTTAAATTTATGTGTTCAACACGGACTAGAAACTATGGGGGGGTTTGACGAATATTAAAGAAGGAATTAGAAAAATTTGGGGTAGTCGTCTTATTTCGAGGTCCTGGAAGACATTCTGTAAGTCTAAGGGTAGAAGAGAAATAACATTTGCCAAAGATATCAACATTAGATGGAATAGTACTTATAAGTTGATAGCACAGATTCTTAGCTACAAAGAGGAACTTGCTGAATTTTTTGGGGATGAACTTCGTATAATTATTTCACCTATTGATTTTGTTATTGTTGAAAAATTGAATGCCGTATTAGAAGTTTTTAATAACACAATTCTTACTTTTTCGCATGTTTACCAACCAACTACAAATACATTTTTTTAAAGAGTGTGTTACAATCGCAACATGTTTTCGTGAAAGTTTGGCTGATGAAGAATTGTACCCTTATGTCTCTCCTATGAAAGATAAATGGTGTGCTTATTATTTGTACATTCCTGATATTTATAAAATAGGTATTATTTGTGATCCACGCTTTAAAATTGAAAATTTTAAAATTCTAATTGACTATTACTACACTTGTTTTTTAGATGAAAATAGTTATTACTACAACCTTTTAATAGAATAGAAAAAAGAAAGAGATAATGCTATAACTCTTTTTGAGAATTTGTTTAAGGAATATCAAGGGTTATACGGTACTGTACCAGAAGAAACAACACCTCCTCTGTCCCCCAAATCAAAAAAGGTTTTAAAGGAATAATCGATGGGTTTCTTGCAAAGAAAGGGAAGCGTGCTCAGCCTTCGACGAGTTCAAGTGGTACAACAATAAGCTCGCACAACGAACTTGCTATGTACCAAGGGGTGCCATGCAATTACAACGACGACGACGTGGAGTTTGACGTCCTCGGATGGTGGAAGCGGAACGAACACATGTTCCCATGTCTCGGAATGCTAGCAAGACAAGTGTTGTCCGTCTCGGTATCAACTGTAGCAGTGGAACGAGAATTCAGTGCTGGCGGCAACATTCTAACCGACTATCGAAGTTGTCTTAACGCTGAATCTCTTGAAACACTTGTTTGCAACCAAGATTGGCTCTTGGCAAGACGTCGAGCTCAAGAGTCCGGGTACGAATTCAATTCGGAGCATTACATGAATGCAACCACAGATGGAAGTCCGAGTTATGAGGAATAAGTTATAAACTTTTTTTATGTTAATGTAGATATGTAATAATGTAAATATGTAATTAGTTTTTTTAGGTGAGCGATATATAAGCTTCTTCGAGGGTTTCTTTACGGTTCTTTACCTCGTCGCTTTTTTTAAACCGTCAGGATATTAAATGTAGTTGTTTTTCAGTTCGTGTATTACTCATTTTACAATATTTAAATAACAACTACATTTTTAGATTTTTTATTTCATTCTTTCCTTTAACAATTGCAAATTTACAATTTTACACTTTAAAAATTTAAAAAAAAAGCAAAAAAAAAATTGGGGGTGGCCGAAACCGGCCGGTCCGGTACCGGAACTGCCGGTCCGGTACCGGAACTGCCGGTCCGGTACCGGAACTGCCGGTCCAGGTACCGGAACCGGTACCGCCCAGTCCGGTCACGGTACCGGTACCAAGGGATGGCGGTACCGGAACCGGCGGTTCCGGAACCGGCGGTTCCGGAACCGGAACCGGCCCGGAACCGTACCGTGTCCACCCCTAGGTGGTATGACTATATTATTTTACCCTCTGAAAATTTTACCCTGATCTCAAAAAATTTATCTTTCTGTTGCGCGTTACGGTATTTGATTTTCAGATCATTTTATATGAAAAATTGTGTAGAATTAAAAAAAATAAAAATTACATATTAAAAAGTACATCAAAAGATCTTCAAAACTAGAGGTGGTATGACTATATTATTTTACCCTGTGAATACTGATTAGTAAACGTGAAGATAATTTTTGGGCGATGGGAGTAAAAATTACATGTTAAAAAACTACATCAAAAGTTCTACAAAATAAGAGGTGATAAGAATATTTTATTTTTTCAAATAATCAATGAAAATACACAAATAAACAAAAGTTGTCGAGAAGATAGAGAAAATAAAATTGTAATCAAAATGGGGACGGAGGGAGTACTTCCTTCCTCTCATATCTTTTTTCTCATTTTGATTTTTGTAGTGAATATTTATAAATATTAACCACAAATAATGGAAACAAATAAATTGAATTGTGATATACCCCCTTCGTCCCAATTTATAGTGCATGTTTCGGTTTACGATATTTGACTGAAACTATTTTCAAACTATTTTATATGACAGATGGTATAGAGTTAAAAAAATAAAAATTACATATTAAAATACTACATCAAAAGATCTACCAAATTAGTAGTGACAATAATATTTTATTTTATCAAATTGCTTATGAAAATAGAGAAAGCAAATGAAGTTTGACCTTGTGAATAGTAAACATGCACTATAAATTGGGACCGAGAAAGTAAATTTTATATCAATAGATTAACTTTGAAACATTGTTTTAAAATATCATATTTTTATAATCTATGTTTATATATAAATAGAGGTATTAATGAATGAAATATTCCATAGATGACCCTAAAAAGTCAAATCCTTTATATATATAAAGCAGAGTCGGAGCTATAAGAACGTGACATTTGGCAGAGCTAAAACGCGACATGTGGCGAGCTGATATGGCGACATTTGGCAAAGCTAAAGTGCGACATGTGGACAAATCGATTGGTTTGACATGTGGACATTTTTGCAATTTTTTTCCAAAAGCATACCACCATGGGGTTTGAAACAAGGATCTCTTGGTCATTTAGTTGAATTCCTAACCATCCAAGCTAGGGTGCTTTTTGTTAGAATCTCACTTAAGCTTTTATAATGTTTCATAATTAAAAAAGGATTGTATAAAAATTTCTTTTTAGTTATAAAAAGTATAATCCTTTAATATAATATTTGAGACTTTGTTTGCAAGAAAGTCGCCAAAAGACAAGCTTATGTGGGCTATATTAAGGTGAGATGGCAAGTCTTTATTGGTTGCTTATGTGGCAAATTTTATTAATAATTAATTGACCTTTATTTTTATTTTAAAATAGAAATTTAATAATGATTTCAAATTTTGGAAAAATTTTACGTTAAAAGATTTAGTACAAATAAAGAATTCATTACTTCGTGACATTAGTTGAGTATTTATATTTTT